TGCTTAAATAATCATTCAAATCTGGGGGAAAATCGGACCATAAATCAGAGTTATAAATAGTATTTTCTTTCTCTGGTCTACATCTAGACCATTGGAGATATCGCTGAAGGGCTGACCTATTTTTTAAATCTGATATTACTACAGTAGATAAAGATGCATGTTGCTGCAATTAATTTATTTTTTATTAGTGAAAACTTACAAATAATATTTTACAACAAAAATAATTTCTCTGGTGATAAGTAAAATGCTTCTAAATCAGTGTTGGCATTTACACAACCAAGTCGGTCAACAGCCGGTCAACCAAAATAAGACCAGAAGTGGAGAGGGTGCACCTACAAAATAAAATGTACTCTGTAAAATAAAGTATTTTTTTATGTGCTTTGAAAGACCGGACTTAGTGATGCCAGGTATTTTATTCCAACAAGGTAGTACTGGTTCACAGGTTCAATATGTGCACAATCATACAAAGGACAGGGGGTGGAGAAGAGAGGGTGTCAGGTTCCAATGGTGACTCATTCTCTATGTTTCAAGTTATTGTTGCGAAATCACATTAAACCACTTTTAAGAATACTTTTAATTTCCTGAAACTTTAACTGATACTAATGAGAACAAAAATGCAGTTTACTGTTGCCTCCTCCAAAGTAATAAAAGGTTTAAAGGGATGTTTCACCCAAAATTGAAAATTCACTCATTATGTACTCACCACTATCATGCTGATGTTGGGGTGGGTGAAGTGTTTGCGTCCACAAAACACTTCTGGAGTTTCAGGGTCAAACAGTGTTGCAGCCAAATTCAATATAAGTAAGAACATCTTTACTGCAGTTATTGAGCATCATCATGTGCCCCTTGGGCGAAAGCATGGAGGTGTGAGTTTGTGCGGTGTGTGCGAAGCAAACATTTAGGCTAAAAACATGGTGTAAATCAGGGGTCACCAACCTTTTTGAAACTGAGAGCTACTACATGGGTACTGAGTCATACAAAGGGCTACCAGTTTGATACACTCTTCTGAAATAACACATTTGCTCAGTTTGCCTTTAGTTATATATTACACTTTATTATTAATGTTTAAATTTTCAGATGATCACTACAACATTTCATACGAAAAATGTTCCATTTTCACTAGCCACTGACAAACCCTTTTAACAAATCATAGTCAATAGTCAACTTCAATATGAGAATAAAAATTTGAYAGTATAAAAAGTAAATAATTACATTTAATTAGAAACGCATATCAAATTTTAGACGCAGCTCACTGGTGAGTTGTGTTATTTTTAGAACAGGCATGCGGGCTACTCATGTGGTCCTTGGGGGCTACCTGGTGCCCGCGGGCACTGTGTTGGTGACCCCTGGTGTAAATGAAATGCAGTTTCGAGTCGAATTTGAATGTCAGTGCTTCCAGACACTTGGATGACACCACAGGAGCAGTATGGAGGTATGTTGTGTTTTTTTTCTTTTGTTCTTTTCTGTTTGAAGATGCGACCCCTTCAATGTAAAAGATTTGGCTGCAACGCTGTTGACCCCTGAAACTCCAAAAGTGTTTATTCACCCAACCCGCCATTTACATAGTGGTGATGGGGGGTTTGATGATGAGTGAATTTTCATTTTTGGGTAAACTATCCCATTAAATGATCTGGATTTGGTCTTGGTAAGAAAAAGCTGTGAAATTAAATTAAAAAAAATGTGTGTTTGATTAAATACAGTAAAGGACTCAAACTGTACTTGAGAATAATTGCTGCTCCTTATTTGACAAATCTAACTATTATGATTTTTGATCTCGACCTCATCCAGTGTTGTCAAATTGGGAAAACATTGTGAAATTACCTTTTACCTTTATCATATTAGTGTTTTCACAAATATAATTAAGGTTTTACAAGCCAAAATATATATTTAAAATGTTTTTACACTCTCACTCTCACTCTAGGCCTGATTTAACATTCTAAATATAGTGGATTTGGATCTAAACATAGACCAATGTGGTTGGATTGGGATAACCTTTTTGATGTTTAAACAAATTTAATAACAGTTTAACAAGAAACTGAAACTATATTATTCTCCTCTACAATGTAGGCCTTATTTGAGTGTTTTTTGATTTACACCCCAGTCCAATGTGGTCTGATTGGGAAGAAAACACAAAAACATTGCTTTTTGGGGGCATTCTCACAAATGTAATAAAATACGTTTTTAACAAATCTAAAGATTTTTAAAAAAATAGTGTATTGTGGGTTTATCTCATCCAGATTTGACAAATTTAGATGAAACTAGTAGTGTTTGAAGGAGGTCTGGTCCACACGGGCAGGGAGGATGGGAAAATTGCCCTTTTTTGCGTTTTGACTGTTAAATTAAAGGCCTCACGTGTCTGAAATGGCTTTTGAAAATGATAGAGGCTTTTAACGAGTATGTGTAAAACAAGGGAATGAGTTATGAGAACCAGAATCAAAACTTAACATCGTGCAGATTCACTGATTCGGGTTTTATTTTGAAAATGCTTGACCGGACGTGATTGGTTGATGAATCCAGATAACTTGGCGGTGGCGTGGAGCGGTGCGGGAGAGCTGAGGCCGCCGGGAACACTCCGCGCTGCAAGGGACACAGACACACTGGAATAATGGCGGCACCTAATCTCATCAAACTGCTGTTGGAGGAACTGAATTCAACCTGTCCGGACTTCACCGCGTGTGCTCGGGGTCAGTCGGTTCAAACACCAGCCCCCTCGGCTCCACTCACAGGACGTCGGTAGCCGACTTTCCGGCTCGCTAGCCCCGCAGTCATTCCCCAAATCTCCGCTTCACAATCACGGAGCTCATCAGTTTTTTTTTTTTAAATAGCCTTATGAAAGCTAGTCACCATCCCACCGAGCGGACCTGGGCACATGAACCCTTCCATTGAAGTGAGTCCGGTGTGACCTGCTAGTCCTCCACTGCAAGTGTGACCGCTAGGACCAAGCTAGCATCCTCTGGAGGCGGATGGACCAGCGGCTCACACAGCATCCCTGCCCGGCACGCGTTCGAGCCTGCGCTGCCGCTCCTGCTGCGGAATGCTAACCAACGAGGAAGCGGCGTTAACATGACGAGGAGCCTCCAGTGTCTCTTGAAGGTGCCGCACTGACTTTTTGATTTTTCATGCCAAGTGTAATGACCGTGCCGAGGCTGCACCATGTACGTGGCTGCCCGTGTCTGTCTCCAGCCCCGCGGATGACACTCGCACAGGTACCGGCGGTTCAGAGCAAACAGCGGCAGCGCGGACACACCGCCGCCGGGTAGCCTAGAGACTTGACGGGAGCCCGCTAGCGCCAAGCTAGGCGGCTAACAGCACATTATAAAGAGCCCCAACAAACACCAACACCAATGGTATCCCATAAGGTTTTCGTTGCAATAATCTTACTCAACGTGTACATAGGTATACAGTCCGTTTTCTACTTGTTCGGCGGCGTCATTTTAACCGTCCTGTTTGCTATGGCTTTTTTAAACGGACCCAGGCTGCTGGACTGGGCGAGTTCACCTCCACATCTTCAGTTCAACAGATACGTCCTGACGGGATACCGGCCTATCTCCTCCGTGCAGGACTGCATCAGGAGCCTGTTCTACCTGCACAATGAGCTGGGAAACATCTACACTCACGGTGAGTATGAGAGCAAGAGAGGAAAGATGAGCCCGAGCTCTGGAGCTGCTTAGTCAGCAGGTGAGATTTCTGTGTGACTTTCAGTGTGAAGCCCCCCCCCCCAGTACAGATGCACTGTAGCTGCAGGAGGAAGGATGCCAAGACTCTGCACTGAAGCCTGCACACCCTGCAAAGTGTTCACATGAGTTTAACCCTTGCTATTTGACCACATATACATATTTCATGTGGGTCCACCGAGAGTCAGTAAAATATGGGCTTGTTTTGGTTTATTAAACAGTCCAAAGTTTCAGAAAACTCAAATAACCTTCATATATATCCAAGTGTCAA